CAGTTCAAATTACATGGAAATTAAGGAAAAATGTACGCTAAACTGCAAAACTAACGAGAAATTAAATGTGAGAATGGAAGACCGTACTGTGGAACGACAGGGTCAGGGACGTTAAATTTACTTACTAGATTATCTGGAAATATAATGAGTGAACAGAAAATCGTAGTCAATCATTCAATTGAGCAGCACCGAGCTCGAGGCACGTGTTAATTAGAGGGGGGTTTTGAGCTGAAAAATGCCAAATCATTAAGGTTTTCACGTTGTGTGAACGAACTAAAATCGGCTGAAGGGGTGGCTTACTAAGCTAAGTTGAGTACAAGTTAAACTAAGAAGCATAAAGCGAGCGCGGCTGATGAGTGCCAAACAATAAACTGGACCAAAGAGCATCAAAGCCCCAAGAAGCCGTATTCCAGCAGGGCTCATAAAAAAATTCCACTTAATGCTGATAAAAAATGAAAGTATCGCTATTTCTCCAGAGTTACTTGCGTCTTCTGACTTCATCCAGGAAAATTTGAAAAACTTTAAGGGGAGCGAAATTTCGCACCGCCATCCATTCCAGAATACTGAGCGCGATCCTTGCACTGTTGTTTTCAAGTAATGCTGTTCCCATTTAAGTCCATCCATGACAAACATGCAGTTTTACTAGAAAATTGCAGAGCGCGTAACAAATTTGACGGGCCGAGCAGTAAGCCAGATGGGCCAAATCGCATCCGATGTACAGAGCTCACTATCAAATGCTGCGCAGAATATTTTTGGAAGTGGAGGCCACAGCAAGCAGCAGCGGAACGGTGACCAAGGCAAAGAGTACAGTTTGAATGTACCCTCAGACACCTATAATTTTAATGAAAATCACGACTACAACAACGGTCACACTGAAGATGAATTCGAAAGCAAAAATGGCGGCAGTGGAAATATCATTGCAAACAACAGACCGCTGCTCCCGATGCCTCCGCCAAGCTATCCGGCACAACCTAAGCAGCAACAAATTTCATCGTTTGACCGTGGAAACTCCTATAGCGGAGCTATCCTGCAATCGTTCCAAAATGCTGCAGGTGGGAACGGAAGAACGCAAAACGGTTTCGGCACCAGTGCAAGCAGTCACGGGCAGCTTATGTTACCCAGTAATTACGGAGGACGCCCCAGTGGGTACAGCTCACAACCGCTCAACGACAGGTCAACTCCAAATGGGCTTCCGAACTCCCTGGTGAGTCGACCACAATCCATGAAGCTTAATATTCGAAATTTTGTTTAATGACGCCCCTTCTAAAAGGCATCTGAACAAGCAAGAAAGGAACTGGAGGCAAGTCTTCTCCATTTTTGTTCGCAAGCGGCTAAATTCGAAGGGGGAGGCACTGGTATCGCTAAGCAATGAAATTGTGTGGAAATCGAATCGAAAATTTGGCACTAGTCTGACCAACATATGGTCAAACGAAATCGAAAACATCCGTAGGTTTGCCTCGAAATATTTCTGCAAAAGTCTACATTTCATCGCGGCACATTTTTTTTTTTTTCATAACTCAATCACATGTTATTTTTCTAGCAAATAAGTAGCCAAAAAGGCAAAATATCGTAGTTACAGGTTATTTTTTTTCAGAATGTTGGTGATCGACAGAGTCAGCAACTAACAAGTGAACAGGGCTGGATCACGGTCGGCTAAAAAGCGCGGACGACAGAAGCCGCTACTTTGTTACCACAGTTGAATTCACTTGATCAAATAGGACGTCGTGTCACTGCCCGCCCCCGGAAAGCTTCAAGCTAACACGGATTAAACAGCAAGACCATTTTACTCGGTGACAAAGTAGGTACAAATGACTGCTTAAAAAGTGATAGTTACTGATGTCTATCTTCGAGTACAGTTGCACTCCCCACGCTTATCCTTTTCACCTAGAACGATTGCAAACAATTTAACAAATTTCTCCGAGTTCCTTTCATAAAAGAAGTTTAATCTAACTAGCTGATCAACTAAAAACCGCAATTTTCTTTTGTTTGGGGCCGAGTGTCACTACTGTATATATTCTGTTTTGATTTCCTGATTTTTCTGAAAGTACCGTTGCTCTTTGATACACATGCAAAATCCATAACGATGCTGATTCTCACAGCGGATTGCTGTTTTACTGCATTATGTACGAACAAAGAGAAGTCTAGAAGCGACACTCTTGTGCAACGCATAGAATGTTTGGTAGAAAGAATAAAACTATAACATCTTCAAGCAGCAGCCTCCTGTAGAAGTCATTGCAGTACATTTGTTTTGTGAAGCAAAAGGAACGGTGTCCTCTGATAGGCAGTTGTTTTTATGTACCATTTCAACCGTATAATGCTGGTGTGGTTGGAAAGCAGGTAATGACTCTAAGTATGAAAAAAAGTGAGGAAGGGAATAAGGCCGAACGACATTCACAATAATTACTACAAGAAGCTCACATTGCTGAAGTGCCAGTTATGTGTGTAAATGTGAACACATAAAAATTTTCAAATATATGTGGAGAACTGGAAAAAAGAAATAAAAACAAATACAATCAGGAAAGAAGTACGATCAGTATAATATTTCAAAATACAATACATTCACTCATCAGATAGGATACAACAAAATTTTTATAGTATAATATGAAGTGGGCTGATGAGATACAAGTCACTGTGGAAGACGTACTGATTCGGCTCTAAGGCTAAGTGCCTGACCCAGAGATACTTTATGGATCGTAGCTGAGCAGTGCAGTACTTGGCCGTAATAATTCTGGGAGGTATATTCAATGGAAGGCTGGCCGAGACTGCGTATTGAATCAAGTAAGTAGCATGCTCAGGGTAAGATGCCTTGACCTCTGGGTCTTTGCTTTCTTACAATTAGATCTAGTACTACTAACTTGGTTCTCCGGAAGCTACTATCTAAGCCTTACTCTGGCATCCTGTGCCAATACGCAAACTTACCTGTGGACCGGCACTGGAACAAGTAGCGAAGCAAAAGAGCATACCGGCGACAAAGCTGCCCCAAGAGTGCTGACGAAGACCTCAAGTTGTTTGCTTTCCTCCCTTTATAGTATCCTCCTGATGGGACCTGCCGTCCATCCCTTCTCAT